ACGGAGATAGAGAAGTGAAGAGGTCCAAGGACAGAGCCTGAGACATTCTAAATAAATAGGTCTCAAGGACAAAAGGATTCAATCAACAAGACTGAGAATGATGTTGATAGAAAATTCTTTCAGGGACCAGTCTTTCATTGTCTGATGTCTAGTGTCTTGAAGTCTGTTCTATCATATGCTTTGTGTTTCAGATGGAAGATGAATCTTGTTTATACTACTCCATCTTTAAAAGACACAGAAGTAGTGACTTTGTATTTAAAGTGCATTTCTTTTGGAAAGAATATATTTCTTGCTTTTGTTTAATCCAGTTGAACATCTTTATTTTACTTGGGATATATAATACATTAATATTTATGTAATTTTTGATATGGTCATTTAGGTCTACCATTTTACTAACTGCTTTATGTGTGCACCCTCTGTTTTGATCCTCTGTATCTCCTTTCCTGACTCATTAGTCTTTAGAACCACATTTAGTTTACCTATTGGATTAGAGCAGTTTCAGGTTCACAGAAAAATGAAGCTGGAAATACACTGAGTTCCATGATTCTGTGCCTGTCTGCAGCCACATAACCTTCCCCACTATCAACATCATGCGTCAGAGTGGTAGGTTTATTAGAATTGTTGAACCTATACTGACATATCATTATTACACAAAGGGTAGGCATAGTTTACATTAGGGTTCACTCTTGGTGTTATATATTCTTTGGGTTTTGACAAATGTTTAATGAAATACATCCACTACTGAAGATTTATACATAATGCTTTTACTGCCCTAAAACTCCTTGTGCTCTGCCTATTCATCCTTCCCTCCCCTACAACTCCTGACAACCACTGACATTTTTACTGTCTCGACAATTTTGCCTTTTCCGGAATGTCATGTAGTTGGAATCATACAGTACGTACCCTTCTCAGATTGGCTTCTTTTACTTAGTAATATGCATTTAAGTTTTCTGTGTTTTTTTATAGCTTGATAATATCATTTTAACTGAATAATATTGCACTGCCTTGATGTACCACTGTTTATTTATTTATCCATCCACCTACTAAAGGACATCTTGGCTGTTTCCAAATTATGGGAGTTATGAAGAAAGCTGCCATGAACATTTGTGTGTATGTAAGTTTTCAGCTCCTCCAGATAAATACCAAGGAGCAAAATTGCTGTATTATATGGCAAGTGTATATTTGTTTTGTAGGAATCAGCCAAATTGTCTTTCAAAGAGGCTGTACCATCCTGCATTCCCACCAGCAATGAATGAGAGTTCCTGTTACTCCACATCCTTGATAGCATTTGTTGTTGCCAGTGTTTTGGATTTTGGCCATTCTAATATGAGTGTGATGGTATTTTGTTCTTGCTTTAATGTGAAATTCCCTAAATGCATTTGATGTTGAGCATCTTTCATATGCTTATTTGTGATCTGTAACTCTTTGGTGAGGTGTCCAGGTCTACTGCCCACTTTTTAATTGGGTTGTTCATTTTCATATTGATGGGTTTCAAGAGTAGTTTATTTTAGATAACATTCCTTTATCAATTGTCTTTTGCAAATATTTTCTCCCACTCTGTGGCTTGTTTTCTTATTCTCTGGACAGTGTCCTTCACAGAAGTTTCAAATTTTAATGAAGTTTGGGTTATTATTTCTTTCATGGATCATACCTTTGGTGTTGTATCTAAAAAGTAAATCACCATACCCAAAATTATGTACATTTTCTCTTGTATTTTAAGAGTGTTACAGTTTGCATTTTACATTTGGGTTTGTGATCCATTTTTTATATTTTGGTATCATTAATATACAGTTACATGGGCAACATTGTGGTTACTAGATTCCCCCCGTTATGAAGTCCCCACCACATACCCCATTACAGTCACTGTCCATCAGTGTAGTAAGATGCTGCAGAATCACTACTTGTCTTCTCTGTGCTATACTGCCTTCCCTGTGCACCCCCCACAACATATGTGTGCTAATCGTAATGCCCCTTTTCCCCCTTACCCCTCCCTTCCCACCCATCCTCCTCAGTCCCTCTCCCTTCGGTAACTGTTAGTCCATTCTTCTGTTCTGTGAGTCTGCTGCTGTTTTGTTCCTTCAGTTTTTGTTTTTATACTCCACAAATGAGTGAAGTCATTTGGTACTTGTCTTTCCCCGCCTGGCTTATTTCACTGAGCATAATACCCTCTAGCTCTATCCATGCTGTTGCAAATGGTAGGATTTGTTTTCTTCTTATGGCTGAATAATATTCCATTGTGTATATGTACCGCTTCTTCTTTATCCATTCATCCACTGATGGATACTTAGGTTGCTTCCATTTCTTGGCTATTGTAAATAGTGCTGCAATAAACATAGGGGTGTATCTGTCTTTTTCAAACTAGGCTCCTGAATTCTTAGGGTAAATTCCTAGTATGACCCATTTTGAGTTAATTTTTGTGAAAGGTTTACATCTGTGTCTAGATTTTTTGGGTTTTTTTTACATATGGATGCCCAGTTGTTCCAGCATCATTTATCAATAGGTTGCCTTTTCTCCTTTGTGTTGCCTTTGCTCCTTTGTCAAAGCCATGGTATTTATGTGTGTATATTTATGTGCTCCCTATTTTGTTCCATTGCCCTATTGAACTAAATGTCCACTCTTACGGCAATACCACTGTCTTGATTACTGTAGCTTTATATTAAGTCTTGTAGTGAGGTACTGTCAGTCTTCAAATGATGTTTCTCTTCTTTAATATTGTGCTGAGTATTTTGGGTACTTTGACTCTTTTTATAAACCTTAGAATCAGTTTTCTGATATTCCCCAAATAACTTGATGAAGTTTTTCATTGTGATTGCACTGAATCTATAGATCAAATTGGGAAGAACTGGTATCTTGACAATATTGAGGCTTCCTATCCTTGAACATGGAATACCTCTCCATGTATTTAGTTTTGATTTCTCTCAGCTGACTTTTGTAGCTCTCTCCATATAGACTATTTCGTTAGATTTATACTTAAGCATTTCTCACTATTTTGGGGCGAATGAATGTTTAAATTTCAAATTCCACTTGTTCACTGTAGGTATTTTGGAAAGTGATTAGCTTGTTTATTCAATTTGTATCCTGCAACCTTGATATAACTGCTTATTAGTTCTGGAACTTTTTCATTGATTAGGCTTTCTACATAGACACTCATTCTATTTATTGAAGAAAATTATTAATTTGTGGTAAAACCAGTCTGTTTTAAAACACGTTTTGTCTTTCTGATTTACCATTGCAGCTTGAGCCTTTGTATAATACTTGGTATATAATAAGACATTAAATAAATATTGCTGAATGAATGAATGCATGAATTTGCTCCTCTAGGCTTTTATCCATCTTTTCCAATCCCTCACATGGTACAATGCTTAACAATGAATATGCACCTTTCACTGTTGAATTTAATCAAACTTAACTTAAATTCTTCTTGAAGTAAATGATCTGGAAACAGGTGAAAAATCATGGCAGAAAACTCATTTTAAATACTTACACTGCACATTGACTAATGCTGGATTTCAAGCCCCAACACTTATCATAAAAAAAACATACAACAAATCTAAAATACCCTAAATTTTTACTTTTTCAGTTCCTGTAGAACAAGTGGATTTTCACAGTTTCCAATACTACACATCTTCAAATGTTCCTAGAGAGTCTTTATGAAACAATATACAATGACTATGCTTTGGTTGTAAACTACTTCAGGATGCAAAATTTGGTAGATATCTGCAGAGACTGAGTGATCTCTGTATCAACTTGAGTCTTAAGCCATTTCAGTAGAGCTGAATTTTATGACCATAGAGAGCTTCACTCACTCATGCAACATATAAATTGAGCAACGTCTTTTCCTCTTTGGGAGGTAGTTTGTATCCAGGGTGTGTCCCAGATGAGCAGAACACAAACCAGACATCCTCAGTACAAATTCCCAGCTGATGATTTACCAGTTTGGGGATCTTTGTTATATAGTTTAATCTGTTTTAGTTGCCTCAATCTGTAAAATGTGGAAACTAACAGTACCTACCTCACAGGGTTGTTAAAATTAAATGGATTAATACATGAAAAGTGCCTGGCACATAGTAAGCACTAATAAAAATTAGTTCTTACTAGTCTTCCATTAGTACCATGGACCTGGAACATTGCAGGTGACCTGTAAATCTTTATTGAACAAATGAATAACTCTGAAGTGAGAGTACAGTATGAATATCTCTTCCACTTTTTGTTGGGGGATAATGGAATCATGATCGTACAAAAGTTGTGTTTATTTCTTTTTAGAAATTCTCTGTTAAATCAAAAAGAGTCAGTTGATCATGTTCATTGATAGAGGATATACAAATAATACTGGAATATGGTTACACTGAATCGATAATTACAACACACTTTGGTGTAAGAGGAATTTTTATTTTTCATTTTAATTCCTTCATAAATATGAACGTGGCAGAATGGAGTCAAATATAGAATGGAGCACAGAGTTTAGGAATTCCAAATGCATTCTTTATTGCGCTCACAGAAAGACCAGACTTTCTAACTCAGAAGCAGGGCCATGCTTCTCCAAAATGACTGTGGGCAAAACCTGGGAAGAGGTCAGAGGCCTAAGTAGACTTTAAATCCCTTACACCTGTGCACAGTGCATGAATGATATTAGTAAGTCTTGAAAATACCAAGGCAGCCAGCTAGCTTTCTGTGACAAAATATTCGACCTTTAGTCTCAAACCTTCCGACGGTACCTCAACTTCCACCTACCTGGATGGACCCAAGCCTTTCCCTTAGGCAGACACTCCAAGGAGCATGAAAACGCGGTCCCACTGAAACTCTTCTCCAAAGATGGGAACCATTTTCTTGATTTGTTGCTAGAGGGGAAGAAGAGCAGAGGCGAGGCTGGGAGGAAAGCGCCTCCTAGTGGCAGAGCGATAGCGGCATCCCACTTGGCCGGGATCCACCAGGTCCGTTAGTTACCCCGGTCCCCGCCCTCCGACCTAATTCTCGCACTTGGGAACAAAGAGGTAGCAATCCATGTCTGGGAAGCTGCGACCCCGCGTCTCCGAGATGGGCCCGGGGCAGTCCGGCCGCCGCAGAGCGGGAACTTCCTGGGGACCCCCGGGAGTCTCCGTCAGATGCGGGCCTTGCCCCCCAGCGCTGCGCCCCGCGCGCCAAGTCCCCGGCGGCAGCCAGAGCGCCGACGTCCAGGCGGAGGCCCCGGCCAGCAGCCGGCGGTTACAAGACCTCAGGCGGCGGCTGCTGCGCGCCGTCCAGCGGGGCGTGCCGCGCGGGCACTGGAGGCGCTCGCAGGTGCAGGCTGCGGCGGCGGCGGCGGCGGCGGCGCGGGAGCAGGAGGGTCGGGCGCGCGTCGAGAGCGCCCTGGCCGGGCTGCACGCCGAGCTGGTGAGCGCGCGGGGCGCCCGGGACCCCAGGGCTCGGGAGGCCGACGGAGCTTTTCGCAGGGCGGGAGAGACGAGGGCCGCGGCGACGGGGAGCCGGGCACTGGCCGTCGACCTTGCGTGGACGCGGCTCGTGTCGGACACGGCGTGGCCCCCACCTCCCCGGCGGCACCGGGGTGGGAAGCGGTCTGCAGGCCGCGGGGCGGCGGCACCTGTCGGCGGCTGAGTGTACTAGTGACACACCCAAGACCCAGCACCACCTCACCAGCTTATTCTATATTTTTCTACCATATGGAAAGTTCCCTATAGGCCACTTTCAGTATGTGCTCGTATGGGGCGAGGAGGAGGAAATTTAAGTGAAATAAACTCTCTCGTAGGATTGGTGGGGTGAGTCCATCAGCAACTATTCCTTTTATTCCCCAAGTTTTATCTTTCCCCTTGGTAAGAATTCAGAAAACAGGAAATAATACGGAACTTTGTAAAATTGTAGCTTTTCGACATTAGGCAAATGTAGGTAAATATTTTAGTTACTGTTTAAGTTCAACAATTTCCAAGTTAGGTGAAATCTGAAAAGGACAAAATGAGTAAGAGGAATTCAAACTTTAAAATGGTGCTGCCTATGAACGTGTGGAGTGGAGTGTACCCTTTTGCACTGAATACGAACTGTGAACATCAGTTGAATTCTTAACAGTTTTACCGTTAAGAACCTTAACAGAATATTTATCTTCTTTCTGAGTTTAACAAGGGCAATAAGGTAGTAAATCTAATTTTACCTGTGTTAACAGTGAATTTGACAAGGGGTGTATTATCTCTGACCCAACCATGCTGAAGAAACACACGGTTTTCCTCCCGTACCTGAACCCTGGGATGTGGGAGACACCTCCTTAGTGGAGATGCTCACCCTTTTTAGCTGGTCAGGACACAAACTGGAGGGCTGAGGACCTGGCTTGGCCATCTCTGTGCTGCTGACCTGGGATGTCACCATCCCTTGCTGCACCTCAATTGACTCATATGTACATCAAATGAAGAGATTATACTGAATAAGCTCTGAGACCCCCTCCAACCTTAACATTCTTACTAGTTGCTCCACCAGTGGGAGTTTTAGGCAAGTAGTGTATTGGGGGTGGGGAGGAGGTAGAGAATAAATTTCCAATGAGATGAGGGTTCAAATCCCAGCATTAATCTTTACAGGCTCTTCTAACTCATACTAGCCTTAGGACTTAAGAAATGTTAAGGAGCTAGTTTGGGTTTCAGTGCAGTCATCTGTAAAATGGAGATAATCATCTAAGGATTGCTGTAAGGATTATACGAGGTAGTGTTTATTTAAAGAGCCTAGAACATAGACACTATTTTTGGCTCTTATTATTATGATAATCATTATTATAGGCCCTGGAAACAGTACAAAAATATGACAAATACATAGGTATGGAATAACAAGTTTTTTTTCTGGAAAAGAGTCATAGAATTTCATACATACACAGGTGCTGTGTCCTTGGGTTGTAGACCATGGTCAACATCTTGGCCAATCATTTCACCATTGTGTGTGGCCAGTCGTGAGGAAGAAGCAAAAAAGTGTGGACGGTTTAGCTTAACACCATCACCACTAGAGGAAGCAGTTTGATAATGGGCTGTTAACCAGATGTTTATAGAAATCACGAATCTGTACACATATGCCCATGTATCATGTGTGAGGGTGGTATTTGTGTAAGGAATAATGAGCAGGTTTAATTAACTTAGAGACATTGCTATTTATGTCACTTAATGCTATTGATTGTTTGAATTGGTCTACTCAGGGGGTTGCATTGATTTCTAGGATCTATGAGTAAATTACAGGGGTCTTATATATATATAAAACTAGCAAAATTTTATATGTGCATAAAGTGCACATTTTTCCTCGGAGTAGGTTTAGAACTCTCATTAGATTCTCAAAAGGATCGACGATGAAAGAAAGATCAAGGAACCATTGGTGCTGAAATTTCCTAAATAGGTGTGAATTACACATACTTAGATGGTGAATCGCTATCAGTAATTTTACTTCTTGATTCCTGGCACGGAAGTACAGGATGGATATTCATCAGTTCATTTATTCATTCATTCGCTCCATCTTTTAACAAACGGAACTCACCACGTTGTGTGCACAGGCAGTGCACCCATAGTTGGGGGTACACTCATGAATAGGAGCCAGGCTCTGCTCAAAATCATTCGTCTAGGGTAGTCTGTGTGCTATGAGAGGCACATGTACAGAATGCTGGAGAAGCGCAGACCAGGCAAACAGGGAAGGCTTCTAACAAGAGTTGGCATTTGGGTTCAGTGTGGAGTGGGGAGGGTGGGGATTGTTGGGGGGAAGGGGGCAAAAGGGGCAGGTGGAGATGTGGCTGAGCACAGTGTGCTCATTCAGGATAGGTGAGGTTTGTGACCAGCTGCCGTGCAGGCTGGTGTGGGGAGGGTGCCAGGAAATGGAGGAGGAGGACAGGATTATAGAGTATCTGTGCCATGTTTCCCGGAGCCAAGGCACTGGGGCTTTTGGTGCTGGTTGTTATGTTACTGTTAATATTTGTTTGTTGGATTTCATTTATTTTTATTTATTTTTTGCAAGGGCTTGCTATGAGAAGTGGTTCTAGGTGCTGAAAAATGAAGAAAAATGTATCAGAGGAAAACTGAAAGAAAATTTTATCCAATGACTTTGTTTTGCATACTGAGAGGGGACTACCAGTAATTTCTCTGTTTATACAGAATGTTCTGGTTTGTCCTGGGCTGGTCTTTGTCAGTGAGTGGATGAAAGATTTTAAACAGAGAGAGACAGCATCCTTATGAACAGCATTATACAAGACCCTAATTGAAGAAATTTGCAAATAGTTGATTATTACTTGTCAATTGTACTACAAAGATATTTGGACTAAGTTTTGTTGGACTGCCTCCTAGGTAGACTGCCCTAGAGATTTTATTTTTTAATACATGAGGACCTTCACAAACTCCCACTGGAGGAGGATATAAATCAGTCTTGCTACATAACAGATTTTACTCCAGAGTGAAAATTGTTAGATTATATAAGTACACATAACTGTACATGTGCCTCTAAGGTGTTGTTAAATGTTTCTGCTTGACAGGGAGACCATTTAAAATCCTAAAAACTAGAAATGACAAGTAATCAAGTAAAGGACCCAGGTCCTGAAAGCTCAGGTGGCCCTGGGCAGTTATATTGTAGCTCAGAAAGCTCATAAAGGTAAATGATTTCATTGCAGATCACATGTCATTGCTTGAAAAGAGGATTCCATGCACAGGAATTTTTTATATGGACAGCTTTCTGCATCAGCTATTTTTGTTTTCATTTCAATGCCATTTCAAAAGCTATTTGTGTATCTGGATTTTACCTTGTCATATAGGAAGTTTTATAGCCAGGTCAAACAGCCAGAACTGGAGAGTCAGATAAGAAATAATACATCTTTCTTGATATCTTATTTTCCTTTCCTACAAAGTCCTTATTTTTCCTTTGCAGAGAGCAGTTTCATTTGATCCATATCTCAAGCTAATACAAATCCTTATTCTTTTTCTAACTTTCAGCTGGAAATGCATTTCCAAAATCTGCAGCTGGCCAAAACTTTACTGGATTTAGACATCAAAATGGAGCAATTGAAAAAGGAGTATGAATTGGAAATTGCATCAGAATTTCAAAGCTCAGAAGATAATGCTGGGAATCTGGAATAAGGAAATGTACACTTGAAGATCTGAACTCTAAAAAGAACATAGACAACTCTGAAGCAACTCTGACAGTAACATTATGGATGCTTTGCATAAGATTTTAGGGGCAATCTGCAGAGCAAAAACTTAGATACAATGGGAGAGGGGAAAGAGAAAATGGTGTTTTATCAAGTTTTAACATTATTTTCTCATTGTTTCGGCTCGGAACTCAAAGTGAAAAAAAAAACAAAAGTATCAAAGAATGCCTATGGCCAGTTTCCAGCATTCTATCTTGTGCCACTTTAACTTTCCGGCATTACTTGAACTTTCAGAATCTGCACATGTTTTTGTTTTTTTTGTTTTACTTAATTATTCTTGGTTTGTCTGTCCATTTAGCTTTCAATATATATATATATATATATTTTTTTGGAGAATTATTTCTACCTAGATTAAAACCATACTCTTTGGGTAGAATCTGCCATTAAGGGTGCCCCACCTCCCTGGATGCAGATCACACAGACCAAGGAATGTTGAGCAGCTTGTCCACGAGTTCTTGAACTAGAACTAAGGGAGTAGATGAGTATTCCCTGAAGAGAGAAGCTGTGGAAGAGGGGGGCACGGAAGCTCCTGGTGGCTACCATGAGAGAAGGTGTGAGCGCTCATGAAGAAGGTTGAAACTGAACCACCAAGAGTACAAAAGGGGTGGGGATAGGGGAGCTGATCTTTGTCTGTGGGGTTGAGCCGTGTAAAACCCCAGCCCTTGTTGTCATAAAAATACTCCTAATAAATATCCTCCTAATAAAAATCTCCTTTCGCCTAAGTCTGTTGGAGTTTTATGACTTGTATTCAAAAGATTCCTAACATAATTCCTTTGTTAAGTTTTTAGCAGTTAAAAAGGCTTATGTTGAATTAGAATATCTACTTTTACCCTACAAGTGTTGCCTTAATGCAAGAAATAAAGTTAATAGAAGATAGGTGCAGATCTGAGCAATATTCATAATGGTCATTATCTGTAAAAATAAAAATTACTCAAAAATTTATGTCTACTACTCTATAAAATTCATATTTAACAAGAGAGATTAGTTCTTGAAGACAAAAGAACACAGAGTGGACATTGTCTTTCTCTTAAAATGTATACAAGTTGTTTTATGTTGTTACGTGTGTCAGGATTTGAGGATTATCTGGACCAAGTTTCATTTGTCCTTAACTCCCCTTCCCCCAACTGTAAGTGAATTATTCAAGCCCTTTGGTACTCAATTTCTTCCCTCTGTAAAATCGAGGTATTACTACGTTCAACTTAGAGGACACTGTCAACGAGCAGTCAACAGCATCCTGATAACTGACCCCTGGATTTCTTGAGAAATTCTGCCTGTGAGCTCTTGGTTTGTAAATATACAGAGTGATTTCTTAAATTATATTTGTAAAACATATTACCTATGTATCTCTTCCTCAAAGTTATAGAAATTCTGAGGAAAGAGTTGGTAGAATTTCTTGTGATGCGTTCTTTAAAAAAGTCTACTTAAATGTCAGAGCAGTCATTCTCAAGGTTGCTTTTTATATTTTTAAGGTTAATAATTATAAATTGTTGTACTTTGGTGTTCAGAAAATACTCATAATGATTCCTTTTATAAGCTCAACTCCTTACAGAATACAGAGAAGTGGAACTTGGCTGATAGGCAAATGATATGATTATACTGAAAATGTACTCAACTGGGAATCAAAAGAAACATTAAAGAAATCTTCTGAAAAAGGTGCATTGTTTTTCACTATTGCAGATAAAACAAAAATGTCTGCCAGTTTATTATTATTTTTAATCACCATTTTTTCCCCCCTTCTTTCAGTGATAAACTTTGGATCACTGTGTATTTTAGGTGTCACAGATGCCAAAACAGAGTAAGAAACTCTTTGTTTCAGAGGTCTCTTACTTCTGCAAGCCCTGATCAGTAGACGTGCCTGCGATTATTAGCTATCAATAGGGAGTTACAATGAGAACCTGACAGATGGGACACTTGTTATTAAATGTTTTTGCTATGCTTTCCCTCATTAAGTGAATTCTGCTCTCATATGACCTCTCATTTTTTTTTGTTTTAAATAGAGGTCAAATTGTTTTCATATTTTTGCTTTGCAGTGGTACTCAGCTGTTTGTTATCAGCTTGCTGGATTTTGGTCCTATTGGCTGTGGGACACAGAAAGACAGCAGGGACAGTTTTCTAAGGGATGTGGGGGTCCACCTACAATGGCTCCATTTCCCTACTTCCCAGCGTGTTTACATAAGCTAGAGCAACAGTGTGGCATTTTAAAGAAATATGAGATGTCATCTGGAGGAGGTGAGAAAATAATTCTAACCTAAATTATGCAATGGGGGAGCAGTAACTGGATAAGCCAAAGAAAGTAGGATGTTCATACCAGTAGTGGATGCAGAGGGCCAAATAAAGAGAAACTTAAAAGAGCAGTTTAGTGAGGAATATGGTGTTAAGTTTTTTCAGATGATGCAATTTCTCCAGCTTCAATTACAGGGGGAAACACCGTGTTAGCAGGAAACAGGCTTTCGCTCCATGGTGCTTGTTTAGCACCTACCAATGAAGAGAGCCAAATTAATTATGACTATTAGGAGCATCGCACAGGTTGTTAGGTATTAAATCCCTTTACGGGTGGCCTGGATGAATCCACGTTTTGTTTGGCTTGCCAAACCACTTCTCTGTAACAGGTACTTCTGGAGCTCCCAGTCTGGGGAAGGATCTGAGCCGAGTGTAAACCTGTGCAAGCTGAGCCTGCACCAGTGTGATTATGAGAATGCCATCTCCCTGGGTCCCTTCCCTGGCCCAGGGCCCCGGGGCAGCCATCAGCTCTGTGCATTTACCACTGTAATCACTGCTGGAGTCCCTCTAGGCCGCACCTGGCATAAAGCCTTCCAGCGCCAGCTGCTTTTTCTGCTGGTTGCTTTCATTGCTGTTATTGCCGCCACTGCCGCTGTGTCTCCAGCCTTGTGGCTGTGGTACTAATGAGGGATGTAAGAGGATTCGAAATATGGGTAGGTTTAGGGTTGAACCTATGCCACCCTGCCTCCCTTTAGGTCTGGCAGCCTCTTGTTTCACCTGCACCAAGTGCTGGGCAATATGGGTGCGCACTTCTTACAGCAGCTGGAGTCAGGTACTGCTCCTAGGGGGCCGTGTACCTCTTGCTGCTTCCTGATCCCGGCTCTGATGAATGTTGGGGGTTAGGAGACTCCACCTCTTCCTTAGGAGCAATAGTGGCACCATCCTTCTCTGCTGGAAGCAATGCAGGAGGAAGCTGTGGAAGGTAGTAGAAATAATGAGACCAGCAATGATGTGAGCCACCACTCTTGTGCTCGGCGTTGTGCCAGGATGTATTGTCCACAGGAATTAGCTTGTTTAATCCTCATAATGTTTTGTAGGTGTGTAGAACAGGGTTTTGGAGTCATTTGGCTTCAGTATTTAGTCCTGGCTCTGCCACTTACCAGGACATGACCTAAAAGCAAATTGCTTTAAATTCTTTAGGTCTGTCTAAAGAAGCTAGTGAAAATGGTACCTGTCTTATTTAAATTTTGGAAAGCCCAAACTGAAGAACGCTGATGTGGGTTTGGAAGACTGCCAGTGGTGAAGGCTCTTCTACTTTTTGTGTGTTTCTTTCTTTCATATCTTCAGTTCTACATGCTCTTACCATCCTTTGGACTCTGACTTTTCTCATGCCATTTTGTTCATTGTGTCTCTATGTCTAATCCTCTGACACCTGCTCTGTTATAATGGCGACTCTGAAGTTCCTCTGTTGATTGATAAATTGATTTCCCAAACTTGTGAGTAGGCACCAGGAAGAAGCGAACAGTTACTGCTACCTACCAACCCCTGAGTCTGGCTGGCATGTAGTGTTAGGTGCAGTTTACATCCTAATTGTCCCAACAACACTGTGAAGTTGGAACTATCGTTTTTCCCAGTTTTTTTGGAGAGGTTACACAACTTGCTGCTGTCAAGATCCACATGCAGGGTTGGGTGTGGTCTGGCTATTGAGCCCCTCCCAGAGTAATAGGGGAGACCCATTAAGTGAATAAATTCAATATTATAACAGATCATAACAGAAACATGTATGAAGTGCTAGAAGTGCTTTTTGCAGGGGTCATACAAAGAAGGTTTCATTGGGAGCATGCCACCAAGTATCTGTGTCAACCTGGAAAAAAATCCCTCATTTGTGCCTCACATGCTACATAAGTCGGGTGACCTTGGACAAATTATTTTCCACCCAATCTGGGACTCAGTTTTCTCATTTGAAAATGAAAGGAGAGTAAAAAGAGCCTCTAGAACATTCCTCTAAATTAGACCTCTGTTCTGTCCTAATCCTGCCTGCTTGGGACTGGCCTCTTCAGTCACTCCCCTGTGACTTGTGACTTGCCCAGACTTTCTGATACCCGCGGCAGCATGGAGGGCCACTGACCTTGGCACTGGCCTCTGGCTATGAAGTGGGCTCTCTGGGTCCCAGCCCCTGCCTTGATCGTGCCCCAGCTGCTGCAGCCTTGATGATGACAGGAAGCGATGCTTGTCACTCTTGGATACCTCTCTGCTCTTCTCACCCATACTGTGACGACAGCCAGGGCGAAATGTCACATTTGCACTTCAGAGGGGGACAAGTATGGCTCACACCTTTTATGTGTCAGTTTTTAGAAGTAGCCTGGTGGATGGCCTGCTGTGGCAGACACCGCAGGCTGAGAGCGATGCAATGTGTAGTCAGGAGGGCAGCCCTCTGGACTCAGATGATGGAGTCGGAACCTCGGCTCCTGTACCACTTCACTGTGTTACTATAGCTGAAGTCCAGTTTGCTCCCCTGTAAAATGAAGATAAGCACACCTACCCCATGGGCATGTTGCGAAGATCTAATAGATTAATACATGTGAAGTGAACACCCTCAGGTACAGTTTATTACTATAAAAGCCTACCCCACAATCATTTGGCTCATCTTTCTTGCCTGCTGGAAGCGCCCAATTGCAAGATAGAGACTGAGAGTGACAGTTTCACTTTTCCCAGCCCCCCTGGGAGCTGAGGATGGCCATGGAATACAGTTTTGTCCAATAAGGTGTAAGGGGAAGTTTGCTGTGGGGTTTCTGAGAAACACTATCTTTTCCTATAAAAGGAGAGATAGGAGGTAAGCTCTTTCCTTCCTTGCTTCTTTCTTTCTTAATTAGGAACATTGTCACAGGAGGCTGTAAAACTTGTACCTGTTACAGCCACCCTGTGACCAAGGTGGATGACATCTGGACACTTTGAGGATGGGTGGACAGAAAGATGAGAAGAAGCAACTCTTCGATGGCCCATCGCACTGCTGAGCCTACTGGGAGACTGCCTACCTATGGCAAGTCTTGGTCTGTGAGGTGACAATAATAATAAAACCCAATTGTTTAAGTCACCACTTTTATTTGGGTATTCAGTTCCTGAGGCACCCTAACTCACACTGGAACTCCACAACCTTCTGGCAGGAAGATGCAGGATGATGGCTGGTCTGACTGCATCTGTGGACAGCAGCAGAAACTATAGACAAAGGACTCTACAGACATCTTTTGGTTGCTACAACGACTCCTGCGTACCTTTAGTACAGACTCATCTCA